AAACACACACACACACCTTTCTTCTCACTCTGTTCCTTCTGGTAGCCCAGGGGGGTAAATGATTCTTCTTCTTCTTCTTCTTCTTCTTCTTCTTCTTCTTCTTCTTCTTCTTCTTCTTCTTCTTCTTCTTCCTCTTCTTCTTCTTCTTCTAAGTTTTTAGTTTTTCAAGACAGGGTTGCTGTGTGTAGCAGCTCTGGACCCTGGAGCTTTTTTTTTTGTAGAGCAGGCTGCCTGGAACTCACAAACAATCGCTTGCTTCTGCCTCCCAAATGCTGGGATTAAAGGCATGCACCACCACCCAGTCTACTAAGGTCTCAGATGAGAAGAAATCCCAGAGCAGGTGGGGCATTTGCTCAAGAGTCACTGAGTGAGTTAACATAAAGCCTGACGCAGATTCCTGACTGCTAATCTCCAGAGTCAAGTGATTCTGGAACGAGCATCTCACCAACCCCACTACCCTCAAATTCCCCCAAGCACTTAGCTTATAGACCCGGACCGACAGAGGCCCAGGAGAAAATCTGCTCTGGCCAAGGTGAAGACAAGAGCAGTGGTGTGGAGAACGGTATGGGGCTGTGAAGTACAGGGATCACAGCACCCAGAAGTGTAGTCAGAGCACAAATCCACGGCCCTGGAACGGCAGTGCTAAACCCATCCCAGTCCATGGTGTGCACATTTGGCTGTTCTCCAGTACCCAGTCTCAAATTCTCTCCCTGGAGCACAGGACCGGAGTCCAGGAGCCAGCCAGCTTATAAGGCAGAATGGCTGCGAGAGCCCCAGAGTCTGAAAGAGAGAAGTGCTGCAAAACAATGCAGATCCATCAAGCATATATGCAAGGGTTATTTATTGTACATCATTGAGCAGCTGTCTCTGTAATTCAATTCACCAGGCATTAGTACCTAAGAGTTTAAGGACCCATTAAGGGAATTTGACAGATTCGTGTACATCTCAGACTTAGTCCTAAATTGGAAACACATCACAAAATTGACCTGTTTTGCATGGGATGATATCACCTGTTCATAACAGACAATGCATCTCAATTATTTATACCCCAACAGTGACCCAGACGAGGAATGGGTTTGGGTGGAGGAAGCAGAGGGCAGGACAGAGAACCTTCACTAGTTTTTAGCTTACACTCCTGGATGGTCTGGATGTTTAACTCTAAAACTGAATCAGTTACAGAATGACAATTTCCAATAAGGATTGTCTTAAGAATTAAAAAAAAAATTGCCAGGTGTGATGGCCCACGCCTTTAATCCCAGTGCTCAGGGAGACAGAGGCAGGTTGACGACTGTGAGTTTGAGACCAGCCTGGTCTACAAAGCGGGTCCAGGACAGCCAAGGCAACACAAAGAAACCCTGTCTCAAAAACACAAAAAACAAAACAAAAAACCAAATACCTCACCAACAATGGATGGGGACCCACATACAGGATTAGTCAGAGGCATCCCAGCCCAGGACTGGCTAAACTTTTCCATAAATGGTCATCAGACTCTTGGTTAGTTGTGAAGATGCATCAGCACAAGCAAGATGTGGTACCATTTACAGGATGGGTTTTTAGTGTGAGGCAGGCTGGCGTGTAAGGACACCTGACACCCTCCGTGCAGGTGGTCCGCAGCTGGTGATGCTATTTGAACGAGGCTCTGGACACGTCAGGAGGCCTGGCTGGAGGAAGAAGACCTCTAGGGGCAAGTTCTTAGGACTTCTGTCTCCACCACCAAGAATGTTCTGCCTTACTGTGGACTCCAGATCGACCTCGCCAGCAGTGAAGTGCTGATCCCTCTACAGCCCGGAGCTAAGGCAAACCTTGAATTGTTTACTTCAAGCATTTAGTACAAGTTGGCCAACCAACATAAATGGCCTACTGTGTCTTTGATAAGATCCACAGCCACTGATTAACCCAATTCCCAAGGTGGTTAGGGCCCAAACAAAATTATAAAGCATTATATTACGTAGCTAGGTTCCTCTTGCCAGGAGTATTTCCAAAAGAGTACATAAGAAACTGGAGACTTATGGCTACCTCTGGAAATGGTGTCTCTCATTGAGAGAGACTTGTTTGTTTGTTTGTTAACATTTAGACTTATTTTTACTACAATAGGGTGTTGTTTCTTTAATGATAAACAGATCTATAGAGTACTCTGGAGAAAAGAGGCCCTCCCAACATCTAGCGCATCTCAACTTATGGATAGTGACTCCTTTGGGGGTAAGGGATGTCAAACGACCCTTTCACAGGGGCCACTTAAGGCCACTGGAAAAACAGCTGTTTCCATTATGATTTATAATGATAGCAAATTACAGTTACGAAGTAGCAACAAAATAATTTCATGGTTGGAGGTTCACCACAACATGAAGTGCTGTATTAAAGGCTCACAGCATTAGGAAGCTTGAGAGCCACTGGTCTGGATGCTCCGCTGCCTCCTTTCAGCCTGAAGAGTCTGCCTTACATAAATCCTATCCATTTCCTCCAAGTACAGGAGCACCTTACCAGGAGAGAGGAGTGGTTGCCATGGAGACCCTCCATGGAAATAGGAGGCTTGGGGGCGGGGGTGGCTTGGGAAGCTATTTGGGTTTGAACACGGCTGTCTCTGCCTCTGCTCCAGAGACCCAATGCTGCCAACTTGCAAGCCTCCAGCTCTTAAATCAGCCTGGCCACAACCTTGGTTTCTTAGCATGTGGAGGGAGGAGAGGGCTGGGAAAACAGCGCATGTGGACCCCACCAGATGGAAGCATGCAAAACAGAAACACATGGGCAGCTTGGTGAGCTTCCACATCAGCCTGACTGCTGGGATGATTTACAAGAGGCCAAGCCAAGTGTGTTCCCACTGCTCCAGATCCAGAAGGGACGAAGGAAGAGGCCTGGAGAGGCAGGTCACACCTGCTTGTTCCCTTTCCTCCTTCCTGGGAAGGCCGGCCAGCCGTTGTTTACTTGCTGGCCACAGGTGGCAGTGGCTGAGCCTATAAACACCACCGAGAAGCCAGTTGGCTGGAGAAGGCCACTTGAGCAGAGGATATGAGGCCACTGTTAATCAGCTCCCAGCCAAAACCGATTTCCTGCCCAATTCCCTCAGGCAGCTCCACCACACAACCTTTCAGGGCTCGGAACCAGCTCATAAACAGAGTCAAGACCTGCACTCAGAAGGGCCCTCCATTATATTCGAGGCAGCAGTGAGCCAGCTAAGTCTTAAAGAGAACAAACCTTGCAGGCTTGTAAAGTGCTGCAGAACTAACTAATACTTAAACCTCTATCACTGGTGACGCTGTTAAGATGAGGATACAAAAATAACGATGCTTGTTATCCCCCACCAATGTAGGACATGGGTACACAGCAGACACCCAGGTTAATAAATGAGAGAAACAGCCACTGATTCCAAAAAAGGGAGAGAAACCACCTCATGAGAGCCAGTAGTGAACCCATATTCCTGAGTCTCCCTTTGATGATGATGAAAAGGTAGTTTACTCTTAGCAGTGATGATAGTCTTGTCCCCCGCATATAATTGACTACTGCCAACCAGAACTTTTGCTGCTGTTATTTCTAGAGTCAGTCACTACCTTGAGTTCAGGCGCCGTGCTGTACGGGTGCTTAAAACCAAGGCAATTTGTGCAGGTAAGAGCCCACATTTTTCAGATAAGTAAGAAAAGAAATAGCATGAGGCTAGAGGGCTGGCTCAGCTTTTAGGACCTCTTGCTCTTGCAGAGGACCCTGGTTTGGTTCTCAGCATTCACATGATGGCTCACAATCATCTTGTAACTATAAGATCTGATGCCTACTCCCACCTCCCACCAGGCACGTGCTGTTCTTCGTTCGAACCCAGGTAGTTCTGGTTTACAGATTGAAGGGTCATCCTTTTACCAAGAATCATCTGGTTAGAAAGTTCCAGTTGATTTTCTGTCTTGAAAGTTATCCTCTCCTTACTCCCCCACATCTTTCTCTTTTCCCTAACTTTCCATTTCCTGCTACACAACCCGAAAGCCCTTCAACCATAGAGTGAAGATGTGGGAGGAAGGCTGAAACTCAGCTTGGAGTCTCCTGGCATGTCACTTGTTTTCTGTCTCTCATTGTTTTTGCTTTTAGGATCTCACAGACCCTGGAGGAACTGGTCCCTCCTGGTTACCCAACTCCTAGAGATGGCAAATATTTTGCCAACTACTGTGCCTTTCAGTATAAGCCAACCAATAGCCCAGGATCCAGCCACCAACTATCTTGACTTCCCCAATTCCCAGACCACTGTCGCCTAGTCATGGTGATGGATACAAGAGAACTTAGTGGGCCCTGTCTTTCAGCGTCTACTGAAGCTATTCATACTAGCTACCCCCTCAGCCTGCTCTTCAAACTCATCCACTTCCTCCCTGCACTAGGCTGCATGCCCTGCTCATCTTCAGCTCTCTTCACACAGTGTGCTTTCTCACACTGCCCCTCATGGATTAGCACACTTTTTTTTTAACTGTGACTCGTAGCCTGCCAGTCACATCTACCATACCTATATCATTGATAACCCTGTTAAGATGAGTATACAAAAATAATGATGCTTGTTACCTGTCACATGGCTCTTTATTGAAGCCAACCTGTCAGCCATAGTTGCCTTTTGATTTGTTAGCCTTATCGTTCCTAAATAATATAATTCATATCTTGTTTGTTTGTTTGTTTTTGAGACAGGACTTCTCTTTGTGTAGTCCTTGCTGTTCTAGAACTCTATCTGCAGACCAGGCCTTGAACTCAGCGATTAGCTGCTTCTGCTTTCCAAGTGCTGGGATTAAAGGCATGCATCGCCATAACGCCGAAACAACTCATGTTTTAACAAGTCAAATTTGTCAAGAAAGGTAAACTCAAACCCAGTGTATGTGTGGATTATCTGGGCTTTCCCCGGTACCTTACAAGCTCCCCCATCAGAGTATAGATATGTATGTGGCCAGTGGCCTCCTTTCTAAGGCCCTTGCTTTAGGTTAGCCATCCTCATCTTCCAGGGGAGGGTACCAGTCATCCCCAGCGGCTTCAGGGTCTCTTACCTAATTCCCCTGCAGGTGCTCAGCGTGACGCTGGATTCTTCTGCTTTCCTCACAGTCCCATGGTAAAAGCAGTGATCCTAGAGAAGAGAAAGGAAGCACTTGTGTTGAATGGCACTGATAAACATGACAACGTTAATGTCTCATTGAGTGACGGGTGACCGATGAGTTCCTTACCAACCCTGACTTTGCAGCATCTTGCAACCTGCAAAATGCCTCCAAGCTACCATTCAGTTTGGCTCTTACAGTAACCCAAGACATAGCGCAGGACAGACGTCACCAGTCCTACTGAACAGATGAAGATGATGATGCTCTTTGCCAAAGATCTTCCTGCTAGGTTGGAGAACCCAGGAATTTCAGATCCCACATGGCAGCCTCAGGAAAGAGCCAGTCTTTCACTGAAGTCATCTCTGTAACTCCCAGGAATGGGTTGAATAATGTTCTCCTAAAAGTCTTATGTTCACCCGGGAGCTCAGAATATAACTTCATTTGTAAATAGGGTTTTGATCATGTCGTTAAATTAAGACACAGTCACATGGATTGGAGTAGGTCATAAATCTAATGCCCCATATACTTCTCCTGGATGAAAGGACATGAAAGATGTAAGGGGAGAAGCCACCTGAAGACAGAGGCAAAGACTGGAGGGATGTAACACAAGCCAGGGAGAACTAAAGAACTAGAAAAGGAAGGGAGGACTCCCCCCTGGAGGTCTCACAGAGTGGACTGCCCTTCAGACAACTTGGTTTTGGACTTTTGGCCTCCAAAATGGAGACTCGATTTCTCTTGTTTAACCTCCAACTTCATGGGGCTTTGGTAGGGTACCCTTGAGATATAAAAATAAACCCGGCTCAAGATGCTCTTCCTCCCCTGAGTCCCTCCACACCTGGACCCTCCTTCCTGGGTACCTAGCTCCATGAAGCCTGATGCTATTCCCTACTCATAGTGCCTTACAAGCATCCCAGCTAGAACCCTCCATCGTTATAAACATCACCAAGTATACCATATGCTGGCCCTGGGCGAGGCTTCAGAAACGCAATGAGAAAATGGACACACAGCTCCATTCCCTAGGGCTTACAGTCTTGTGAAAGCTAGCCATTAATAATTAGGAAGCTGCGGTGGTTTGAATGAGATATGTTCCCCCCAACCCCAGGCTCAAGTATTTGAACACTTGGTGGTCCTCGGTGATGCTACTTAGGTTAGCAGGACAGCCTTGATGGCAGAAGCATGTCACTGGAGGGCAGGATTTGAGATTTTATAGCCTCGCCCACCTCTAGATTGCAGCTGAGATGTGATCTCCTAGCCTCTTGCTCTGGCCGCCTCTCCCACCAATTATGGACTATCCCTCTGGAACTTTAAACCCAAATACACTCTCCCTTCTGTAAGTTGCTTCGAGTCATGGTGTTTTATCCCAATAACAACAAGCAATCAGTGCAGAAGTCAAACGTGCATAGCTGCAAATAAAAGTTTGCGGCACCAGAGAAGCGTTACATCACTAGGCAAATCATAGCAATTAGGAAACAAACTGTGCTTCTGAGAATGCCTATGTGCCAAGCCTGTCGCCCTCCCCAAAACAGAAGGTTAGCAACAAGGATAAAACGTTCCTCCTAAAGAGGTCAGAATTGATGTGTTGGCCAGAACAGAGAGCAGGTAAAACTGAGACTAAAGTCAGCTTGTTTCTTTATTTTCTTTCTTTCTTTCTTTCTTTCTTTCTTTCTTTCTTTCTTTCTTTCTTTCTTTCTTTCTTTCTTTTCCTCTCTCTCTCTCTTTCTTTCCTTTTTTTGTTCTTTGAAACAGGGTTTCTCTGTGTAATAGCCCTGGTTGTTCCAGACGAGGATGTAGACCAGGCTAGCCTCAGACTCACAGAGATCTAACTGCCTCTGCCTCCCAAGTGCTGGGATCAAAGGTGTGTGCCACTTCGCCCAGCCCTGATGTCAGTTTCTTAAAAGGGCTTCCCCAACAGCCTGAGATGAAGTCGTATCATAAACACTCAGGCTTTTCCTGCATGACAGATAGTCTAACGGTCTCACTTCCAGACTGCACTGTTTGCACTTGTTCCCTTGTGTGTGGCGGGGGGGGGGGTCCAAACAGCAAACCCATGTATTTGAGCACCCACTTCCCTCCTATCTCTAGTCCTGAGTACAGCCTGATAATTAAATGAAAGCATTTTGGCACAGCCAGGCCAACCCTAAACCTGGGCTCCCAAATACACCAGCAGTGTAAATGACTTCCCTGGCTTTCCACATCTTGAGCCTCCAACCTCAGAGTGGCCACAAATCCTGTGTACAAAGGAACTAGCTAGACTGCTCCCTAGCCCAGAGCGATAGACAGCAAACATTAGTGGACCTGTTTTCATTCAATTCTTTCACTAAAGATAAAACATGGCCTCAGGGGACCCAAAAGCCCACCAAAAGGGTTGACCCAAATCCGCAACCTTTACTGTTTCTATTCTGTAACCTATTCATCTGAGCCTTACAGCCATATCAGGAAGCAAAAGCCAAGACCACACTCAACCTGGGCTCTTTCCCTGGATCACAGGTGCCCTTTCATCTACCAATTATCCACTGGCCAGAAGCACCAGTCATCCACCCACTCACACTGACACAGCAGCAGCAGCCTCCTCTTGGCATCAAAGTCTCCTGGACTTTAAACTAGTCAGATTCTGACCTTCATGTGAGCAAAAAAGGTCGTCCCCTAGCTCCTAGGAAGATAGGTGAAGTTACACAGTTCAGCTTCTAGTTAAGGGCCCCACTGCTTTCATCCTGTCACATGGCTTCTCCATCTGTCCATGGGCCAGGGGAACTAGAGGCAGCTCATCAACAATCAAGTTCTGAAACCTGGTCCTTAGAACTCAACAGTGAGGCCACAGACCCAATGCCCAGAGCACAGACAATGAGATGGGCCAGTTCCTTCTCCTGCTTGGGAGAAGGAACCAGACCTTCATAAGGAAAGCAGGGCTCATAGACAGTGGAATCACCGAGAGTTGAGCATTCAGAGATGTAGGTCAAACACTGTTTCAAAATGCTGGTTCCTTCACAAGCAGTGAGAAGTTAAATCCAGCACTAGCTAGGAAGAACCTTACACCTCTTCGGCTCTCTGGTTGATGGCTGCAGTGTGCACACCCCTGTGCTCTCTGCAATGGCATGTTCTGCAACTGTCACATGCTCCATAATTTACAGAGGGCATTAGCACATGTGACCAAAGTGCCTGCCATTTAATCTTAGTAGCTAACAGTCAGTAGGCTCTTACTTTCTTGGACAACAATTGCTAATTTTTACTTTAGTCCTAACTACAGTGTCATGAGCCAGATAATACACCCACGAATTTTAAAGGGGAAACTTAAGCTTAGCTTAAAGGATCTCAGCTTTTGGGATAAGATTGGATGTAAAGAGCCTTAGTGACATGGTGAAGCCAAGACTCAAATCCCAGCAATTTGGCCCTGTACCCCATCCTCTACCATTCCCAGCCAAGGCAGAATTGCCACTTGACTGAATTCTCTTCTACCCTCTAGCAACCAAAGGGACCAGCTCTAGTCTGAGCCTTGCCATTTAAGTATAGCCAAGTTGCTTTTCCCATTCTCAATCTCCTCATCTGTAAAATATGGGGTTAGAAATGGTATTTATAAGTTCCCATAAAAATCAGTGACTCGTCTTACCCTCACACAGCACTGAGTCAGTAATCAGCACATCTAATTTTTGAGATTAAAAAAAAAAATAACAACACAAAAGAACTCACTATGGTCCAAAGGGTTGATTAAGGCCATACAGCTAGTGAGAGCCAAGACCACAGCCCTGGCTTCACGCCCCAAACCCTCTAAGTCTTGCTGTTGGAACACATTCCCAGGCCTATTTCCCCAGTAACCTGACCTAGATTAGGGCTGTAACCTACAGGCCCAGCTAGTGCGTCTTGATAAGATTCCCAGAATGCCTGCTAAGTTTGAAGGCAGAGTACAGTCCTCAGCATTCAGCCCAACAGCAACTAAAGTTTATTCCATTCCCTTGATTTCTTATTTTCCAAATGAGAAGGCTGACTGGGAGCCCCCTGGGCCTGGGCGGGGACTTCGCAAGAATCCAGTAGTGGTAGATGGAAGAAAACAATGATCTTGGCCCATGGTTCAGTAAGGATGTGCTTCAGCCAGTAAGCCCTTCAGGAAGGAGGGGGATTCAGGGGACCAGGGAACATCCCCCTTTCTCTGAAAGACCCTTAACACATGTCTGCTTGGTGCACAGCTCAGAGCACAAAGAACAAGTCAGGATCAGCCATGAAGTCATTGCATTCCGCAGCTCCCGGGCTGAGGGGGCCACCCCAGGGGGCTTTCACCGCAGGAAGCATGAGCTCAGAGCACACTTGTGCACTGAGACCCATTCTTGAGTTGTGGGTATGGCAGTGGGAGGGGCTGAATATAGAGGGTGTTTTCTGTGAAACTGTAACGGCCATGGGCTTTCTCCACATGGCACTTAACCAACCCTTGCCCGTTCCTATTCCTGGAAGCAGAGAACAGAAGCCTGAAGAAGGGAAAAAGCTCAGAGCAAGGGGCTTTGAGGAGATGTAGGTCATAGCTGGACAGTTTCCCCAACCCAGCTCAGTCTGACCCTTGCTGTCATTGGCCGCGCTTCCAACTTCTTTCCCACCAAGGAAAGTCTTGGGAAGAAGTCCCACTGACGTTCATACTCAACAATCCAACAGAGCATCCCCCCCTCCAGCTCCCCCAGTCCACCCGGCCTCTCTGCTGTAGACCTCTTAAGAACAGTGGTTCTCATCTTCCCTACTGCTGAGACCCCCAACCATAAAATTATTTTTGTTGCTACTTCATAACTGTCATTTTGCTACTGTTGTGAATTGTATTGTAAACATTTCTGGAGACGGAGGTTTGCCAAAGGAGTTGCGACCCGCAGGTTGAGAACCATTGCCTAAGATGAATCCAAACGTAAATGACTTTCCCCATTCCGGGGAGCCTAATAAACTAAGCTAGCTTGCTAGTAACTGACAGTGGCTATTTTGTTAGACATTTGTACAAAGGCAGAGATAGTTAAAGAATGGGTTACAGGGAGATCTAGGTCCATAGATACAGTTAGAGGAATCCTGAGCAGAGAAACCTCTCCGGGTTCTCCTCCATCTCATACATCAGATCTCTTGGCTTAGAAGCCTTGGTCTGGTCCAGGCTTTCTCCGTGGAGGCATTTCTGTCTATACTGTGGCTGGATAAGTCTATTGTGAGGCTCTGTGCTATGTATTATGGGGTACTTTGCAGCATCCCCTGTGCCCAGGAGATGCTAGCAGCATTCAACAAGCAGTGCTGCCTCCAAACACTTCCAAGAGTGCCCCGCAGATGAAGAATCACTCCTCCTGCCTGAGATGCACCGCTCTGAGAATTCTAACAGAAATCATCATGGGAAGAGCCAACAAATTATGCAACAGGTAGGGTTTACTGCCTTAAACGTCCACAGGTAGGGCAGGGTGAGATAAATGAAGACATAAAACTATTTTCAGAATGCTGACTCTTTGATGATGTGCAAAACTTTCCTACTAAAAACAACTCTGAAGGGAAAATGTCCAATAATAAGACAAGAACCAGATTTTAAAAAGCCCGATGGAGCCGGGCATGGTGGTGTATATCTTTAATCCCAGAATTCAGGAGGCAGGGGAAGGGAGATCTCTGAGTTCGAGGCTAGCCTGGTCTACAGAATGAGTTCCAGAACAGCCAGGGAAAAAACAAAACAAACAAAAACAACAACCAAACCCAGTAACATTTAAAAGAGGTATAATGTTAATATAAATTTGTGTATGCACAGCGATTAAAATTCTGAAAAACCTTACATTTGAAAAAAAAAAAAAAGATTAATCGGCATCTAATTGGGTAAGATGACAGGATGATGAGTAAATTATTTCTTTTACATATTTTTTAATATATGGGTAGTTAACATAGGCCTAATAACAGGTGTGCTTCATAATGATTTGCACAGATTTTAAACAAGACAATTACCCTCAAACATTCCTCATCTGTTGGCTTCACCATTTTTGCCAGCAAAGGACAGAGGACATCTATGAGACAGACAGGTTGCTTCTGTTTGGGCCCTCCGTCTTCAGTCAAGAGAAGCAAGCTCTTCAGAGAAGGGGCTGCCTCAACCATGTATTAATTTCCACCCAGCCAGGGCAGCAGCTGATGGACATGGACTCACCTCAGATTTCAGCGTGGTGGTTCGGGGGTTGCCACTTGCAGTATAGCAGGTTTCCGTGTAGGCTGGAGCAAAAAGGTGCCTGAAAGAAAAATATAAGAGCAGACGTTTGTACATGATTGATATATTCCATCTTCCAGGTGATGGTGCCCAGTGGCTCTAACTGACCCAGGAAAGGCCACCCCGACTAGAAGAAACTGGTGGCCATTCACGGACAAAGGAACAAAGAGAAAACCAGGAGGAAATTGGTCTCTGATCACTCCAACCAGATGGGGTTGATGATACGAAATCAGTTATCTTGATTTGTTTTCCTGGGGCCTGAGAAAATGTACAGACACACACATTCACAATATCCCAGGCTCTACTATGAGAATCAACTGATCCCTCCAACACTGTATATGCCAACTTCATGGCATGGGCCCCTCAATTTTTCTATAGGAGAATAACCTCTGATAAAGGCTTTTGGTAATGTTGTCAATCAAGGGATCCCACCTGGCCCTGGCCTATGCTTTAGGCAAAGCCAATGGAGTGACAAGGCAAGGATCTGAGCAGATAACAGGAATATTCATTGTTTGTGGAGCCGCTGATGGCACTGCTCATCCTTTCTATGGCTCAGATCTCCCAAGACCTGCCCAGTTTTGTCACCATTCCAACAAATTCCCTCTTTCTTCTCCACATGTAGAGATTGTTTTCTCTCTTGTCACACACCCTTTGAAGCTGAGCTTAAGGAGCCCTCACCAAAGGCTAGGAGATACAGAACAAGGTTCCTAGCATTTCTCTACAAGTGAAAAATAAAAGCGCCAAATAGATGTTTCAACTAACAGAACTGATCCCCAGAAAGGCGAGGTCAGGGAGCAAAGTTATTTCTGATTTTTAATGGGACAAAACATCAGAAATTCAAGTCTGACAGAAAGAAATGCACGTTTATATGTAAGTGTGGAAACTCGAAAGAGGGATTAGTCACCGGGCATTTCAGAAATATATGTAATTCTCCAAGTCCATTTTAATGTAATTCTCCAAGTCCATTTTAATGAAAAACTAAGCAATGTACCCAGAGCACGTGTATTAAAAACAACTGGCAAGAGCCCGTTGTCAATGGTGATTATCTCAGGGGAGAGCAGATGTTCAGAAGGCAACTTACATATTGCTGCAATTAAAAAAACTTATCAAATAAATACTCATTTTGAAAACAGGAAACCTAATTCAAAACTGCTCCAAAGTCTGGGCTGGAGTGTTCCCACCCCAGGACGCAGCCAGGCAGCAGATGCCTCAGGAATTAACATTCAGTCTTGAGGAGAAGCAGAAAAACCCAAGAGGGATGTGTAAACCCAGAAAAACACAAACTCCAGCTGGCCCGGAGGATCGCTCAGCCACATGGAAACTGGCTCAGCTGCGAACTTGTAGAATATGTCTTCCAAACCCATTTCCCCCGAGCGTCCAGAGATTCAGAGAGGAGTCATTCATAAGTCTGAAGGAATTCAACAGGAAATCTCATGAGGGCACAGGCCCCAAAGCTATGCCTGCTTGAGTCTTCCACCACTTACAAGTTTACTGAACAGAAGATATAGTTAACTGTAGATGGAATTAATGAGTAGTTCATACCAGGGTCTTGGGGTATGGTCTGGGAACTGAAAGACGGAGGCTTTTATTTCAGCTCACTGCTGCTGTCTCTAGCACCAATAACTGGTTATACTCCCTCTTTTCAATTTCCTCTTCCCATGCGTAAGGACCATATATCTCCTGAATCAAACAATATAATAATACAGATAGCAAGCTGAACACCAATTATGGTAGAGTGGAGCCGGGCAGGAATGAATGATTACCAGCCCAGTGTGATGGAGCATGCCTTTGATCCCAGCACTCGGGAGACAGAGGCAGGTGGATCTCTGTAAGTTCAACTCCAGCCTGTTCTACAAAGAGGGATGTAACAGGCTCTACAGCCAGGGCTGTTACACAAGGAAACCCTGTCTTGAAAAAAAACAAACAAAACAAAAAAAAAAAAAAACCAGAAAAACAACAAAAAAAATTAATGGTTATCACCATTGCTTTTATTTTGAGGTTACAGGCACAGATGTATGACAACACGCCCAGTTTTATAGGGAGCTAAGGTCTGAGCCCGGGGCTTCGTGAGCACTGGGCAGTATTCTTAGCAACTGAGCCACATCCCCAGTTTCTCACTATTGCTTTTAACAAGGTTTATGATGGAAGAACCCAGGAAAAATGAATGGATTTTTACCCGTTGCTCTCTCTCACTCTCCTCAGCTGTCAATACACTCCATATATCACTTAAGAGAGAAGATGAAAAGCAATTAGCTCATCCCTATGCTCTATTTCCTGGGTCATTTTTGCAGACTATATAATGGATGGCTGGTTGAGAGTTCAGCATGTCATGGTGTGCCCTGGGTGCCAGTGAAGAGAGGTAAATTTTCCCACAGAAAATGCCCTTGAGGTAAATACACTCTAAGCTTATTCAGGGAGGATGGGGAGCAGGGGTCACTTATCCAGCATCAACATTAAGATGAATCGAAGAAAGTGATCCAGACCGAGCCTTTGAGGTACTCCATACTTAGAGGCTCTCAAGCATACACGCTCAGAAAATAGCCTTTCTGCACATTATTTGGAGCTAGCCCCCATCAGCACAGGACTCTGGGAGCCCTAGCAGTTTAAGGACCTTAAAAAAAAAAATCAAACCGATTTCTCACTGCATATTCCCTTGAAAACAGGGACTACCGTTGTCTTTAAAAGCTCCTCCTAGCTTCCTAAAGGCAATACACATTTATCCTGAGTAAGTGGGTGAGTGAATTAATGAATTAACGAACTAACGAATAAACCTCTTACTTAGTATTAGAACCTAGCAGGTAGCCATTCAACAAGAGGAACTTCCAGAGATTGGGAGCTCCTGAAGCTCCCCACTCCAGTTCTCACCACATGTCCTCTGTAGGTAAAGTTCTCACCCTGAATTAAAAATGACCTCTCTGCCTCCAGCACCCACTGGCTTCACTCTGTCCATACAATCTGAATTTAAGCCGGGCTGTGGTGAGGCAGCCTTTAATCCCAGCCCTCAGGAGGCAAAGGCAGAGGCAGGCACATGTCTGTGAATTCAAGGTCAGCCTGGTCTACATGGTGAGTTCCAGAATGCAGTGCTGTTAACACAGAGAAACTTTGTCTCAAAAAACCAGGAGAAGAAGGAGGATGAGAAGGAGGAAAAAGAGGAAGAAAGAAAGAAAGAAAGAAAGAAAGAAAGAAAGAAAGAAAGAAAGAAAGAAAGGAAGGAAGGAAGGAAGGAAGGAAGGAAGGAAGGAAGGAAGGAAGGAAGGAAGGAAGGAAGGAAGGAAGGAAGGAAGGAAGAAAGAAAGAAAGAAAGAAAGAAAGAAAGAAAGAAAGAAAGAAAG